GGTGGCGGCGGCGGCGGCTGGGGGGTTAGGAGAGTCTAGGGGCGAAGGGATCATGAGAGATTCAAAAATGAACACAGAAAGCCTGTTTCATCGTGTAGCACTTTTTGCTTCTTTAGTTTCTTTGGAGATTTTTGAGGTTTTGCATTAAGCGTCATATTAGGCCAGAATTTCTGTTGAATCTAAATATTCTTCTAAACAGTGAAGTGAAAGGAAGGTGCCCTTCATAAAGAACCGCTAGAAATCACGACCTACATAATGGTATGATGTTGTCAATTTTGAGTATAAGCTCTGGTGGCTTTGATTTTGATTTCTCCAAAAAGCCTCATACCAATAGAGATGTATACCTTATTTATAAGCTCGTGATCATCACGAATGTGACTCCCTCTTAACATCCTCATCATGAACATCTTGGTTGTACTAAATTACTTGCTTTTCTAGGCACATAATATTATTAGTCAATTTAGATTTTCCTATTCTACTTTCTTTTTCTTTTTTAGAAACTTCTGGTAGTCTTGTTTGAGCTGGAAGATTTTGATTTTGTTTAGTCTGTTTTAGATCTGCAAAAACCATTAACTAGTATTCTGTTTTTTATTTTGGATGGATGTAAGCGACCTGCTTCGGCCTTTGGGTACGTCAGTTTAAGTTATTACTAGATAGGGAATATGAACTTAAACTTTTAGTCGCTTCATCGAGGACATTATATCTTTTCTCAAGTTATCTTGTGTTGGTAAAATTAACATGTATGGTATCATATATGACAAAAAAGAGTGAATCGTTTAACTGGCACTTCCCTATACTTCCCTATACCTTATTTTAAGGTAACATTTTAGATCTCACATCTAGAATTGAGTTATTTTATTTTTTCTAATTATGCACTTTTTGTCTTTCTTAGGTTAAATTAGAATCAATTTTCATATAGAGATGTAATTGATTTTTTTTTCTTTTGTGATTTAGAAATTAAATAAACCCGGCCATGAAAGCTTATTATATAACAATATTTTATTTTTTAATTTTGGAGAACCAAAAATGATACCCATTATCTCTTTTTTAATGTAGGCACACTTTCTTCTCCCCTCAGTCTGTAATAAGGCAATTTGTATCATGTTGTGGATGTTGGAGTCTACCATTTTATTATTATTATTATTATTTTCTTGAATATATATATATATATATATATATATACAAATATAGTACAATTCTTGTTTATTAATTGTATTTTCATTATGCAAATATTTGTTTATTTTATACAAAATAGTTTCTTTTTTGTATTCTTACATCAAATACTATACTTTAGGTTTAAATAAATTGTATTTTTCCTTCCATTTTATAAGTGTTCATCACTTATCTTTATTTTCATTTAATAATTAAAATAAATTAGTTTATTAATTTAGTAATAAACAACATATATAACTCAATTTATTTTTATAGAAATCTAAAGTGAAAATTTTATAAAGATAAAAAATAATGACAATAAAAATTGAATTATTATAGACAAATAATGTATACAAAATCAAATCATCTTAAATTAATATAAAAATTTATTACCTTCATTTCCAAAAATATTATCGACCCGATAATTCATGTTATTAATTAAATTGTTATAAAGTTAGAACAACAAATATAAATTAAATTGTTATAAAATTAAAATATTATAGACGACGAAAAAAAAAGAAAAAGAAAAAAGTGAGACCAGGTCAGAGACAGATATTTATCTTATTATATTATTGAAAATATGTCAAAAACTTTCATATGACTAAGTCAAACTGGATATGTTTTAATTTTTTTACATTAAAAAAAATGAACTAAAATTCTCCGAGCAAGATTCTATCCTGCTTTCACACTTTTCCGGGCATTTTCTATTTTTTAATGTATATTTAATTTACTTATTTTATAGAATCTTACAAATGTCTTTTTAAGATTATATAACTTATTAAAATGATGTAATGATATTATTATTATTACCAGTTTTAATATATGTCTAAGTTAATTTAATGGTCTTTCGGTTCAATACGTGTAGTAATTATTAGTCGATGGTAATTAACAGAACTATAAAATTCACTCGAGATAAGTGAACAGAACTATAAAATTCACTCGAGATAAGTGAAGCTGCCGTCTAAATGTTGGGCTCAGGTCGACTAGACCTAGACCCAAGAAGATCAAACCTCACTTAGAGGCCAACCAGAACCAAGAGCCGTCTAAATGTTGGGCTCAGGTCGACTAGACCTAGACCCAAGAAGATCAAACCTCACTTAGAGGCCAACCAGAACCAAGACCTGACACATGATCTACAATTGTCGAGTTCTTGACTAACCTTAATTTTGTTCAATTCATCACATGATTTCTCGAGAATTATAACTTTTTCTTCATAGAGAGTTAGAAATGACATATACTCATCTCGTATCTTAATTGAGATCATGTAGATCCACTCCGAACAAATTCGTGCTTCAATGAGTTGGGTAGGTCTACTTATTTTATTATTTTCTTTTTTTGATTTTGAATCTTTATAACGGATTAAAACATGTTTAGAATCCAATACTAGGATAAGGTGACTTAGGATGAAGCAATCAAACTGTTAGATGAACACGACTCTTCACAATAGTATGATATTGTTCATTTTGAGCATAAGCTCTCATGGATTTGCTTTGGGCTTCCCTAAAAGGCCTCATCCCAATAGAGAGAGTATTTCCTTGATTATAAACCTATGATCATTCCTTAAATTAGCCGATGTGGGACTTTCATCATCCAACACCTCTCCTCAAACAAAGTGTGTCTCCCCTTAATCGAGGCTCAACTCCTTTGGAGTCTTAGTCATTTTTTACTGTCTTTAAGGAGGCTTCGATATTTGAGGATTTACCAATCTATTGATACGACTAAGTTTAAAGCTCGACTCTAATACCATGTTAGATGAACACGACTCTCCACAATTGTACAAGGCCTTTTGGGAAGCCCAAAGCAAAGCCATGAGAGATTATGCTCAAAGTGGACAATATCATACAATTGTGGAGAGTCGTGTTCATCTAACAAAAATTACTTGACTTCGGATAAGATGACTTACAAAAGAGCAAGAGTTCAACATCGGGATAGTATAAACCTTTAGGGGATTAAAACGAGCTTACCTTGATTGATTTAGGGCTTCCATTTAAAAATTCGAAAAAAGTTAGGATAAAGTTAAGTACTAAAAAAAGTTATTTAAAGTGAAGCTTCCTCGGCGATTGGAACCGGTGGCGATCCGAAACCGGTATCGTTGCCCAGCTGTCTTTTTTGAGCACGTGATAATATCTTCCTCATTTGGTCTCCGTGTCTCATCGGCGTTCCAGCTGTCCGCCACGTCAACACCCACTCATTTTTATATATATACTCCCCCTCTTTCTCCCGCTTCCCCGACCAAATCCACGTCACTCGAACTCTCTCTTCTTTACTGCCATGTCATCCTACCGCCCCGCCGTCTTCCGCCGCATCACCGAGGAGCAGGAGGTCTCTATCATCGTCGACGCCCTCACCCACGTCGTCTCCGGCGCCGCTGCTTCCGGTCTCGAGTTCCGCCACGACGATTTCCTCCGCCGCCTCCTCCTCCTCCCGCCTTCTACTAACAACGATATCGCCGCCGCCTTCTCGGGTTCTTCAGATTTCGACACGTGTCAAGACTGCAGAATCAACGGCTGCTTGGGCTGCCACTTGTTCTCCGCCCCCTCCTCCTCCTCCTCCTCCTCCTCCTCCTCCACCACCCGCCGTATCAGACTCCTGAAGAAGAATTACAGAGGCGTCCGCCTGCGCCCATGGGGCAAATGGGCCGCCGAGATCCGCGACCCGAAACGTGCGACCCGAGTCTGGCTTGGTACCTTCAACACCGCCGAGGACGCCGCACGTGCCTACGATGAAGCCGCCATTAAATTCCGCGGCGCACGTGCCAAACTCAATTTCCCCCTCCCTAACAACTCATCAACGACTTCCACAACCACCTCCGCCGTCAATGAACTGGCAGTAGCTCCAAGAGCATCTCCGATGAAAATGGAGGCGAAAAACTACACCTTACCGGAGATTTTCAAGGTTGATGACGATGACGAAAACGACATTCAACGATTGATCAATGACTTTGCAGGCCATTCAAATCCAAACCATTGAGAAAATTCTTTCAATTAATTAGTTTTTTTACAATTAGTGAAAGAAATTTTCTCATAGTCAAATTATTTGTTTTTAAACAATTGCAAATAGCAATTGTTAGAATGAAATTAAAAAATTCCTTCTTTTTACTAGATATCCAAAACAGTGTAATCATGTTATGCCACGTGTACAAGTAAAAGACACACGTGCTTAATTGAAGATCTTAAGTCAATTGAATCAGAATTAACACGGATTCATACCTAGCTCGTGATTAATTAAACTATATAAAAAGGGGATTTGGGGATTAAATTAAATTAAATTAAATTAAATTAAATTAAAATAAAATAAAATTAAATTAAATTAAAATAAAATAAAATAAAATTAAATTAAAATAAAATAAAATTAAATTAAATTAAATTAAAATAAAATTAAATTAAAATTAAATAATAAAGGAAAACCCACCTGAAAAGAGAGAGAAAAAGTATAATTATTAAGATTGGTTGGTCAAATAAATGAAGTGCTGCGGATTTTCTTGGTGGGTTCATATACTCGGCCACGTTGAACCGGTTTTTTAGTCACGCGGTCCACACTTAACGGCACAAACCGTTTTAACGTCCCGTTTCCTTTGATACGGCCGTGCACTTATCTTTTACTATTATTATTAAAAAAATATTGTTTTTTTTATAAAAATTAATTTTATTTTTTTATATCCTAAAAATGAAAATTAAAAAACTAAAATAATCAATTTTAAATAAAAAATGAATCAAAGTTATGAAATTAAATGTTTATAATTAAACTGGGTGAAACCAAATAAAGAAATACAAAGGACAATAATCGCGCCAGGTAGGGGTCGAACCTACGACTTTCTGCTTAGGAAACAGACGCTCTATCCACTGAGCTACAGGCGCTTTTGCTTATAAGTATTAATCAAAATTAGTGGATCGAAAGCTAGGTCGTATACAAAAGAAAGAATTGGACTCGCGCCAGGTAGGGGTCGAACCTACGACTTTCTGCTTAGGAAACAGACGCTCTATCCACTGAGCTACAGGCGCTTTTACTTATAAATATTAATCAAAATTAGTGGATCGAAAGCTAGGTCGTATACAAAAGAAAGAATTGGACTCGCGCCAGGTAGGGGTCGAACCTACGACTTTCTGCTTAGGAAACAGACGCTCTATCCACTGAGCTACAGGCGCTTTTACTTATAAATATTAATCAAAATTAGTGGATCGAAAGCTAGGTCGTATACAAAAGAAAGAATTGGACTCGCGCCAGGTAGGGGTCGAACCTACGACTTTCTGCTTAGGAAACAGACGCTCTATCCACTGAGCTACAGGCGCTTTTGCTTATAAATATTAATCAAAATTAGTGGATCGAAAGCTAGGTCGTATACAAAAGAAAGAATTGGACTCCTTATAAATATTAATCAAAATTAGTGGATCGAAAGCTAGGTCGTATACAAAAGAAAGAATTGGACTCGCGCCAGATATTAATCAAAATTAGTGGATCGAAAGCTAGGTCGTATACAAAAGAAAGAATTGGACTCGCGCCAGGTAGGGGTCGAACCTACGACTTTCTGCTTAGGAAACAGACGCTCTATCCACTGAGCTACAAGCGCTCCCGGTCTAAACTTAACATAATTAATTTTCTTTTCTTTATCTTCATCGTACAGCTACGAACGTGTCAGTTCTTCCTCGTGCCAAAATCGCCATTTTCATGCACCCATTCTGTCTCCTTGATTCTCAACAAAAACCTGCACAAAACAGAACAAAAAGGGAAAAAAGAAGACCCATCTTTCTCTGGTGGAGTAAAATTCCCCCCCTCCACCACAAAGGGATTCAATGAAAAAATCCAGAAAAAACAAGATGACCCTTCTCATTTCCACCTTCTTCTTCCTCCTCCGCCTCTCCACCGCCGCTCCACCCGGTCCTCGAGGTACCCCATTTCTCCAATTTTCACATTACTCTCTGCAAATCCACGATTTCATTGACTAATTCTGTAACACCATCTCGTTTTCCCCCCAAATATTTGCAGGGTATCTTCTCAATTGCGGTGCCTCCCAATTGGCCCCCAAGGTGACCGTCGGCAGCCTCCAATACATCACTGATGAGGGCTTCATCTCCGTTGGGAACATCACAAAGCTTCCTGATCCACATCTGGTGCCGACTCTGTCAACATTGCGCTATTTTCCCGACAAATCGGCCCGGAAATACTGCTACATGATTCCGGTGCTTAAGGGAGGCAAATACATGGTGAGGACGACGTATTACTACGGCGGATACGACGGCGGGAAGACTCCGCCGGTTTTCGACCAGATTATAGAAGGGACCAAATGGAGCGTCGTTAACACGACGGATGATTACGCCAGTGGGTTGTCGTCGTTTTACGAGATTGTGGTGGTGGCGATGGGGAAGATGATGAGCGTTTGCTTAGCTAGAAACCATCATACGGATCCGAGTTCGAGCCCATTCATTTCAGCTCTGGAGTTGGAGTATTTGGATGACTCTGTTTATAACACCACGGATTTCAAGAACCATGCTCTCAGTCTGGTTGCTAGAAGCAGCTTTGGACCTGAAGCTGATGTCATTGGGTAGGTAAAACTTCTCTGTTCTTGACAACATTGATCTTTTTCTTCAACCTTTTGTGTTCTGGATTGTGATCTAGCTTGATTTTGCTCGTATTCAAAACCCAGATTAGAATTGATATGATCTGAAATGGGCATGTTTTGGATAGAAATCATGGTGTTAATGAATCCAAAACGTTCTTGTTGAGCTTTTCCATATGAAAAACCATTTTAGTTAGTGTCTATGATCTTGTTAAATAGATCATTTAGTAGAAACTTGATGTTGATACCGTTAGGAATCACGAACCTCCACAATGGTATGATATTGTCTACTGTCCACTTTGAGCATAAGTTCTCATGGATTTGCTTTTGGTTTTCCCAAGACCTTATAGAACTTATACCAATGGAGATGTATTCCTTACTTATAAATCCATGATCAACCCCTTAATTAGCCGGTGTGAGACTCCTCTCCCAACAATCCTCCCCTCGAACAAAGTACGTCATAGAGCCTCCCTTGAGGCCTGTGGAGTCCTCAAACAACATCCCCTTAATTAAGGCTTGACTCCTTCTCTGGAGTCTTCAAACAAAGTACACCCTTTGTTCGACACTTGAGTCAATTTTTACTATACCTTCGAGGCTCACAACTTCTTTGTTCGACATTTGAGGATTCTATTGACATGGCTAAGTTAAGGGCACGGCTCTGATACCATGTTCGGAATCATGAACCTCCACAATGGTATGATATTGTCCACTTATTTTTGGGGTCGGTTTCTTTTCTTTTTATGTTGGGTTGTGGAGGTTGTAATTTCAATGAAGAACCTGTCCTGTCTCTAACCTTTTGATGAATTTTTGGGACTTGAAATTTGAATGTGGAGTTAGCTTTCCAGATGATGTATTCAATCGGCAATGGCATCCATTTCTTGATGAGCATCCAGTGGTAACATCCCATGTGAACATTACTCCTTCAACCTTCTGGAATCTGCCACCAACGAAGGTGTTTTACAATGGCATGACGACGAGCCGGGGAAAGTCGCTCAAATTCAACTGGCCTCCGTTCCCACTTCCAGAAGCCTACTACTACATCTCGCTGTACTTTCAGGATAATCGGTCGCCGAGTCTTTATAGCTGGAGGGTGTTCAGTGTTGTAATAAATGGCAAGACTTTCTTTTCAAACCTCAATGTCTCTGCTAATGGTGTGTCTGTTTACAGTGCGAGATGGCCTTTGTCTGGACAGACCCTCTTAGAACTAATCCCTGCAGACAACATGCCTGTTGGCCCTGTGATTAGTGCTGGTGAGATCCTTCAGGTTTTTCGCCTCACTGGAAGAACGTTAACTAGGGATGGTACTGTTCTTCTTCATAAACTTTGATTAGCGTTTTCGGTTTCTTTATATTCATATAACATCAAACAAAGCAGAAAAGGAGGCGTGTTCGTGTTCTTGTTCTTGTTCTTCTTGGTTTGACAAAGCTTCTGTTGTATTCTTTGAATAATTTGGTAGTGATGGCAATGGAGGACTTGGCACGAAGCTTGAACTACCCGCCCCACGATTGGAGCGGCGATCCTTGCTTGCCTAAGGATCATTTCTGGACTGGAGTTACTTGTTCAGATGGAAAACTTGCTCGAGTTACCACTTTGTAAGTTCTCTCAACACTGTATGTTAGGAACCACAACCCTCCATAATGGTATGATATTGTCGACTTTGAACATAAGTTCTCATGTTTTTACTTTTGGTTTCCCCAAAAGGCCGTTCCCTCCCAACAATCCTCCCCTCGAATAAAGTACACCATAGAGCCTCCCCTAAGGTCTATAGAGTCCTCGAACAACCTCCCTTTAATCGAGGCTCGACTTCTCTAGAGCCCTCGAACAAATGGTATGAACGAAGTATACCATTTTTTCGACACTTGAGTCACTTTTGACTACACCTTTGAGGATCACTATTTCTTTGTTCGACACTTGAGGATTCTATTGATCGAGCTAAGTTAAGGGCATGACTCTGATACCATGTTAGGAACCACGAACCTCCACAATGGTATGATATTGTCCACTTTGAGCATAAACTCTCGTGACTTTGCTTTTGTTTTCCCCAAGACACCTCATACCAATGGAGACATATTTCTTACTTATAAACCCATGATCATTCCCTTAATTAGCCAACGTGGGACTCCCAACAATCCTCAGCTAATAGTCAATGTGGGACTCCCTTCCAACGTGGGACCATCCTCAACGTTGGCTAATTAAAAGAATGATCATAGGTTTATAAGTAAGGAATACATCTCCATTGGTACGAGATGTTTTGGTAAACCAAAAGCAAAGCCATGAAAGCTTATACTCAAAGTGGACAATATTATACTATTATGGAGGGTCGTGGTTCCTAACATGATCAACCTCTTAATTAGCCGATGTGGGACGGAGAACTCCGTTTTATGTCTTGTTGCTGATGAACTAAGAATGGGTATTGAACTTTTTCTCACTTTTTTTAAGGAATTTGACAAACTTTGGCTTATCTGGGACGCTTCCTCCAAGCATAAACAATTTAACTGCGCTCTCTCATCTGTAAGTGATTTTCTTTCTCATCGTCAAACTTAGATATCTATTTCTTGATTGATGACTGCAATTGTGTTTGCAGTTGGCTTGGTAACAACAAGCTCTCAGGCATTATTCCTGATATAGGTTCATTGAAGGAGCTACGAACACTGTACGTTTTCCAGTCGATACCTCGTTTACTTATCTCGAACTCTCTTACCTGTTTTATAACTATGTTTTGTTGATCAAGGCATCTGGAAAACAACCAATTTGAAGGGATAATTCCTCACTCGCTCGAGAAGCTTCCGCATATTCATGAAGTGTGAGTCTCGACCTTGATTCTTAGCTGCAATATGATCTTCATTCTTCATCTGAACTGCCCTCATTAAGTTTGCTTACTCGAATTCAACGGCTTGATGTTTTGGAATAGAAAGATATTCGATGTCGATACTGACCCTTTCTCTCCATGTAGTTTCAAGAGATGATCCCCAATGGGTTTTTTGATTGATGACTTTTATGATTACAGATTTCTCCAAAATAATAACAATCTTAAGTCGAAAGCTCTCGAAGCGCTGCAGAAGCTAGGCATACACATCGAGTAAGAACACGGATATGTGTGCTTCAAGTTCGGCTTGATTAGCAATTTTTTGATCTGATGTTCTTCATTTTTTACACTGTTTTGTTGATTCTTAGGTTGTAGAAGCAGAAATCTATATGGCTATCTCAAAGGATGGAAGAGAATATATGAAGAAGCTTAAGAGTGGTAACTTTTAACATAAATGGCTTTGCAATTATCAGAAGTTTTGAAGTAATTGTTGCAGAATTGGCTGTATTATGAGAATCATATTATCATATTGTTATTTTAAAAAAAAAATATTTTCATATGTTCTTGAGTTCGAGATTTTAATATCCATTGATATTGTCATTTTATCGATATTTTTACTATATTTTCATGAAACTTGAGAGCTCGAGATTTTAATTTAAACCTTGCTTATAAAACTCATTAGAGTACTTGAGTTAGGGAGTCGAGTTATCTAATAACAAGTCAAGCCCACTACTAATAAATATTGTTTGTTTTGGTTCGTTATTTATTATCGTTAATTTCACGATTTTTAAAACGTGATTGCTAGAGAGAGGTTTCTACACCCTGATCTTGTCTCCTCCTCCATTCGATGTGGAACCTCACATATCTAGTCTATGAAGTTTGACATATTAAATTTAGTGGCTCAACGAGTTGGCTCAAAGAGTCAACAGTAATTACGTTTCAAAACATTCTTATAAAAGTAGAGTTTATTCCCAAAGATCACTACAAACACACTCACTTTTACATATTCCTTATAACTTAGTTTGAGGCAACTTTTACTGCAAGTAAATAATTTTCAATTTCCTCACATTCATACATCATGGGTTAAGTTTGTATAATTCGAATTCCATTCGAACTTATATCAAAAAAGGCAAAATAATTTTTTTTTTTTTTGAAGGCATACTCAAATTTATGCCATGTGTCTAGAAATTATTCCAAAGACGATGTGGCTAACCTTTTCTAGCTCTTGTGCCAAATTTGTATAAAAAGGAAGAATAAAGCGAACGGGAAATGAAAAGATATGAAGAGACTAAAGCCGCATAGAGGATTTTGTCCGCACTATTTGGTTATTTCGACAAATATTTTGACCCTTTTAGTATTACAATGTGTTAGTGACTCTAATTGAAGATGTCTATTTACTCGACCTTGTGGAGACCTACTTCAAACGGAGTGAGAGATTTTTGTTTAAATGTGAAATGGAATGTGGAGAGATTTTTCACAGTTAGCTAATGGGATCAAGGACAGAGATTATTCTCCTCCCCCACCCTTAGATAAGGGAACCCATCCCATGAATTCTCGGTGGGAATCCCGGCCTCAATTCCTGCAAAAATAAATAGCCTCAATTCCTGCAAAAATAAATATTTTTGCAGATAGGGAGATTGAAATAAGAGGTGAATGAGGAAAGATTCTACGTCTTTGCTCGTTCCACTTCGAGGACATCTCTAAAACATGAAAGAATTGTTAAAAGCAATACTAGGAGACATCCAAGAGTGAAAAGATTAAATAGAATGGAAGTGAAATGTGGGTAAAATCAGCCATAGAAATAGAAACCAAGCTGAGGATGAAGAAGGGCAGAGAAAAGTAGAAACTTTGTACAGAATCATATTCTTTTCTTTCTTCCACCACAAGTTTTCAGTGAATCAAACCCATTTTTCACTATTTATAAACCCTTTAAACCCATCTGTGTTCATCTTAAATTTCAAGATCGATCTTCCTTGTTTCTTACAACAAAGAAAAAAAAAAAGACCAGAGCAAGCAATTTTTCAGTGCTTAAAAACCCTTTAAATTCATCTGGTTCGAGTCCTCTGTTTCAACAACAAAAAAACAGAGCTACCCTGTTTTCGGTAGTGAACCACAGAAAATCCATCTGGGTCCGTCTGAAATTTGAAGATCAATCTTCTTTTTATTCAACAGGAAAAAAAAAAAAAAAAAAACAAAAACAGAGTAACCCAAACAAAAAAATGCCAATGAACTCGAACCTCCTGGACCTGCAATACAGTGTCTTAAAGAAAAAGTTCCTCCGGGAACCCTCCCGTCTGTTCTCCTTCAAGAACCGACAGAGCTCAGGACTCCGGCAGGCGTTGCAGCCGAGCATGGAGGAGATAAAGCAGATCTTCAAATGGTTCGACACTAACAGAGATGGGAGGATCTCAAAGCATGAATACAGGGGAATTCTGGAGGCACTGGGGAGAGGGAGCTCCATGGAAGAGGTGCAGAAGATTTTCAAGGCAGTGGACACTGACGGCGATGGTTACATAAACTTGAACGAGTTTATGGAGGTTCTCCGGAGCGGAGTTCAGACTCGAGAGGTGGAATCTGCTTTCAAGACGTTTGATGTGAATGGGGATCAGAAGATTAGTGCCGAGGAAGTGATGAGAGTGTTGAAGGGATTAGGGGAAAAGTGTAGCATTGAGGATTGCCGGCGGATGGTGAGGGCGGTGGACAGGAACGGCGACGGCATGGTGGATATGGATGAGTTTATGACAATGATGACTCGGTCTGCAAAGTATGTTTAGAGGATGAGAGTTTCAACTTTTAAGGTTCTTTAATGGCGTTTGATTGTTAAAAAGTGTTAGTATATTGTAAAGGCTTTGTATAAATTCGACCCTACTATTATTTCCATCCCATAACAATTCCAACTTCTCTTTTAGTTAAACTGCTTCGGGTGAATCGAAACATGATAACAATGACATTTTTTATAAGCTTACAAACACTACTTTCACTCGTAAGTAAGTCTATATGTTTTGTTACCACTTTCTTCTACTGATATTTTAATAAACCAAGTCAAGGTTTAGAACTAGCTGGGATTCGAGTGATTCTTTCAACCTAATTGAAACAGAGGAGAAAAAAATTTCAAACCCAATAATTACCACTGGGACGTTTTCTTTTGCTAAAAGCTTACTAATCATCTATCAGGAGAAGAAAACTAGCACTTTCCAATTCAGTTCCAACAATAAACAGCAGGAAAAGAAGAAAAAAAAAAAACGATGATAAGACGAATGATTAAATATCAGGATAAGAAGAGCGTACATTATAAATCAATGGCTAGCTCGTCTCCAATCGGTACCTTGTTTCGTAGTTCGCATAAGGATATTGATGGTCTAACACTTTACATCGAGCTGCTATTGGGAAGATAAACTCATCAGGTACATGTTGTGGTGTGTTCAAGAATGATGGTTTACCAGTAATCCCCACATGAACATTTACCATCCTTGAAATGATGAAACCGTTTGTTGTCCCTTACAATCAACTCTCTCCCAACAATTCTAGACATGATTTTGATGGCATTGTGACAGTCACCACAGATCCGTAGGTTCTTAATGATCCTAAGAGGCGTTCGCGCCGGTGTACTGATCAATCCATATGCAATTGCCAATCGTTCACTATGATACAGCAATGCCTGCTCTTTGGCCTCTTGATCGATATCGTGAAGAACATATCTAGTATCTGGCACATACCCTTGTTCTTTCATTGCCTTCAAAGCCTTTAATTTTTCATCATCTTTGTAGAGAGTTGGATTTCTGAATTCAACAATCCTGTTCTTCCCATCAAGCATGCTAATTGCAGATCGCTTCTTGGGAGGTGGCGTTGGTATCTTGTTAGAGGCAGCTTTCGTTGGGTCCAGATCAACAATTAGCTCCTCTGCATAGTCCTCAAGATCAACATCTCCATGAATTTTAGCATAGTTCTTCAAAGTCTCCCATACCTCGACTGTGGGCTCTATGGGCAGTTTTTCGACATACTCAAAAGCCTCATTGATGTGTCCAGGTTCTCCAAGAATACCTAAAAGCCCCAAATAATGATCCATATCTGGGTTGATATGGTAATCATTTTTCATCGACTCAAAGTACATAAATCCTTCTTCCACAGCACTGGCACTAGCACAAGCAGACATAACAAAAAGGAAAGTTTGTGAATTGGGTTGCAATCCCAGCTTCTTCATGTTCTCAAACAACTCCAGACCCTCATCACCCAATCCATTATCGGCATATCCTTTAATCATCAGATGCCAAGATTCAATACTCCTATCAGGCATATGGTCGAACACTCTCTGTGCATCGCTCATGCTCCCACATTTCCCATACATCTCAAGCACTTTATTATTCAATTGCAGATCGCTTCTACAAGTTGACTGTAAAAAGTAATCATGAACTACTTTAGCATTGTCAAATGACTTCGACTTCCCACATAATTCAAACAACTCATGGAAACAATCAGCATCAGCTTTAACACCTTCTTTCAATAATTCAACAGCTTCTTTCAACTTCCCCTCTCCACAAAAGCGCCGCAATTCATCAATAGGAGATACAAGGGCATTTGGTGCGTGATTTTGAGCACCATGCCCTTGAATCCCAGCCTGATTATTCAACTGATAAGAATTCTCTGCTTGTAGGTTCCGCTGACCAGGCTTCCCAAATTGTGGGAGTCCCTGATTTTGATTGCTCCATTGGTTAGGGGCTCTTTGTTGCTGATAATTGAAATTTTGAGGGTTCGGCTGCGAAGGATTTTGATACTGCGGGTAGCTCTGATTTGGAGGATTCCACGAATTAGGGTTACCGCCTTGAGTATAGCTCTGACCCTGCCGGGGAAACCCAGGATTGGGGTATGAGCTCTGATTTTGACTCCGATTATTCATTTGATTACTAGGACTTCCCAGTTGAACATAGTCGCGATTCTGAAACTCCGAGAACGACTGGTTATTAAAATTTCCACTCGGACGATGAACCTGGCTCGGCGAGCCCCGCTGACCCTGAAGATATCGAGGGTGAGACGAAGAAGGTTGTTGCGGCGGCGTAGGGAAATTGGAGAAATCGTCAGGGAACGCCGAGGTGCTTAGGGCTTTGATTAGGGTCTCTGTTTGGTTTCCGCAAGAGAAGGTGAAAGTTGAAGGGAGAGGAGACCGTACCTTGATGAAGGAGGAGATATGAATGGGGGTTCGAACACGCCGGACCGCCATGAGAGACGCCATTTCTGATCGGAAAAGGCCTAAACCCTAAGGAAAGGTTCAAAGAAACCTCCGCTAATGCAAGCTTGAGAGGCGAAGAAAAGAAACTAGACAACTGTTTTTCACAAACTTACATTGGGCTTATACCTAGGCCCATTTTCTTACAGCGGCCCAATTTGAAATAAATACGTTTAATATTATCAGAAGAAATAAGAAATAAATACTTCTGTAAATTTTATATTTTCAACCTCAAAGTACTATATATATGTGTGTGTACATGTATGTGTGTATGTATGTGTACATGTATGTGTGTATGGTGTGAGAGTGAAAATTTGAACATCCGACCTCAAAATGTCTATATGAAAATTAGCAAATTATGTTCATTTTGTTATTATTATTATTATATTTATTTATTTATTTTAAAATAAATTTAGGAGTGACGCTTGAACGATTAAAATCTCTTTCGTCATGTTCAAATTTACTTTCAAAAATACTTTTAATCCTTTATCTGGTTGAAATCGAAAGTATTCAATTAGTTTTGAGCAATTAAATACATGTTTGAGAGTAATTTTAAACTTGACAAAAATGATTTTACTCCAAATTTCTCATAATATACCTAGTAACATCCACACAAGAAGGTGTTGAAATTTTAAACCTTAATTAAGAACATATGTTTTAATTAATTAAACTATACAATCAAGTAGGAAGAATCAGCTAAAACATTGATCGTGCCATATTTTATTTTAAACATCTAATAAAGAATGAACAAGAGTGGTAAAGGAACAACCCCCTTTTTGTTTGGTTATCATGCAAATTTTGATCTCTTGATTAAGAGTCTATGTTTTAACCACCTATACGGTAATGGTCCAGACCCACAGCTAATAGATAATGTCCTCTTTGATGAAAAATTCGGAAGAAAAAGTTCAAAGAGAATATTTGCAGACAGTAGGTTTGAACCGTTACATGAACTATTCTGTCAAGCCGGTAAAGAGAGTTGATCGTGCCATATTTTACCCTCCATAAACTCAGCCATCCACAGCCCGTTGGAGGGAGGGAGCTTCAAATCATAGAACAGCCCAGAGAGAGAGATAAGACTGACAAAATATCCTAAAAGCTCTCAATTTTTTGTGTCAAAAAGCCTTGGTTAGGGATACTTATAATAAACCTTGTGGGGAGAAGAAGGCAAATCTTGAGCTACTTTTTCCCTGGCAGAGAAAGGAAAGTGAAAGGCTAATTATAAATTGAAATTCATTATCTTTTCAGACATCCATTACCAATTCAAAGCATGTGAGAGAGAAACTGTTGTGATAATAGCAATAATAGAAGGAAGGTCTAAATGAACAATGATACCTTTACTTCCTGATCTTGTAGTTCTTTTGCCACTTGTTTCCAACTGGGAGACGCCGGAATCCTCGCCGTTAGCTGCTTTATCTTCAGATTTATTAGCCCTGGTTTTACGCCCCGATGATCTAGTAAACTTTTTTCCACTTTTTTCCAAAGGGGATACATTTGAATCCTTGCCGTTATCTCCTTTACCTGATCCAGTATTTCTTTTGCCATTACTTTCCAATTGGGTGACATCAGAATCCTCATGGATGTTTTCTTTGTCTTCTAAATTGTATGCCCTGATGATATACACCTGCGAATGCAAGGCAAAGCCCATTTGAGCAGGGAAGTTCACAACTTGGAACAAAAAAAAAAAAAAAATTCAGTCATTTCTGTGAGATTCCAAGATTAGTGAGGGAATCTTTATGTCGACCTAGCATCACTAGAATAATTCTAAGTCAATTACTGCATGAGACAGGAAAAAATGAATTGAAATGAGGATTAGAGTGGGTTTATAAGGAAGAAATACATCTCCATTGCCAAAAGCAAAGCCACGAGAGCATGCTCAAATGGAAGTTCGTGGTTCCTTACCGTGGAAATATAGAAATGCTTAAGAATCTCTACAAACCATCTTGAATATCCCATCCTGCCTCCCCGCACTACAAAAATGTATTCCCCTTGTCTTTAGGTGTTGCTCATGGCAACAAACAGCTATAATCACTTTCCTACATGTTTTTGAAGAAGCTAGTACTGTTCAAGACATGCATTTACTTCTTATGGATATGAACAATACTTTATGTAAGATACAATATGACTGTACGGTGTCCTTTACCTCAAACTAAATGTGCTAGATTAATTGTGCATAGACCCATTAAACTTGAATCACATGAAAAGATGCTTGGCCAAGACAGAATATAATTTTCTTTTCCATGTAATCACCTTGAATTCAGTCGGCTTATTTAACTGAAACACCAAAGTATCCCCATCTACTAACTGGTGATCAATGGAAAACCCTCTCCAACCACCACTAAGACCTGTTTTTTCGGCAAGGTATTTTGTTTGGAACTCATTTTCATCCTCGTCCACCAGAGTTAACATTTCATCCTCAAGGGGAAGGTGTGCCTTGCAAAAATGAACTGGGAGACCCTATAGGAAACTCAATAAGACAATATACTTCGTCAAATTATAAGCTTTATATAACCAATCAAAGCTGAAAATTCAGTAAAATTATATAATAAACTGACCAGCCAAAATCCCCCGGTGACATGTGATTGAAGCATGGGCTTCACAAAACTTGGGTATCTAGACTCCAGGCTAGATTGAAGGTCTCGTGCTCTGTCAATGGCATATTGCCTTTCCACATCTGAAGCATAAACCCGATTCAACAAATCCCTCCTTTGATAAGTCCTATTCGTCCAATTTCATCCCGTTTTTAAGTGAAAAAGACACCAAATAGTGTAAAGTAATTCAAAACAGGATTTTTTATTTTGCATACCTTCTTAAACATGCAAGTGGTTCAATGGGCTCCTGCAAATACCAATAAGATTTAAGCATTCAGCTATAACTAAATGATTAAATTAGAAACTGACCAACCATTGAACAACAATTTTCTTCACCGTAAAAGCTTAATTAAGCGTGTCATTTCAGTGAGAACAAGCTAAATAACATTCAAAATGGCCACTGTTAAAAAACTACAGCATTCCTTCTCTGAAAGGATAATCAAAACGAAGAACTCAAAGCCTACCTCCTTATAGCTTGGAGGGGGCTTATCCGCAAAACGGCTGGATCTTCTCACACTTAAGGACGAGATATCGAGTGGCTGACGAGGACGCTTTAGCTGCTTCGTCTTCAAGAACAAAAAACAAAGAGAGACAGAGAGATCAAGTTTTAAACTCATTGATATTAGATCATAAACTATTTTGAACAACGGAAACCTACCGGAGAGGATTTAGGGCTGGAAGATTTCAGAGCATCGGCTAGCTTGTTGAGATTAAGTTCTTCCATCCTCTTCTTATTCTCCTCCAACCTCTGGCGTCGGCATTCCTCGTAAGTCAGGTTCGATTCCACCATTTTCCTGGAAACCAAACAGCAGCGGAAGATCCGTCTCCAATCCCTCAAATCGGCAAAGAGAGCAAAATGAGCAAGAAAGTGAAGCAAGAATATGACCGTTGTAGACTTCTGTGGCGGAACTGAAGCTTGTTCCCTTAAATTTTCTGGTGAGGGGCTCTAGAGAGAGAATTTCGAGCGCCACTACAGAGAGCTCTGGATTTGATTTGAATTCAAACCAAGCTACTATTGGGCTCAAGCACAGCTATATACCAATGAACAATGGAGATGATGAGGTGGATTGGGCCTGGGCCTGGGATTAATTGGGCTCTATATATTGCTAATTGAAGCCCATGTTACTCAAGGCCTTTTGGACTTATTTGGAAAGCCCATGGTCTTTAGTTGGATCTAAAATGGAGAGATGTTCATGGTTAGGGTACTCATTTATATATGTATATTGATTTATTCATTTATTTATTTATTTTCAATTTATGTCTAATAAAATTTTTAATTTTTAATTGTGTTGAGTATATATATAAATTTAAAAATAGATGAAAGGTTTGAGACTAAATTTGTAATTTTTTAAAAAAGCTAAAAAGTGTTGTTTGATGAATCTACCTAGTATTAGGTCGTTGGTCAGGTAAAGGTTGACTAAGCCAATGATGTTTAGCTGGTCTTTTCAGATATCAGTCACACTAGAACTGAGACACGACTCGAACTTTCTGGAAGACAACAGTGAGGAATCTTAGACAATGGGTGAAAGCCCGATCCAACAATATCGCGTGAGTGAAGAAGGGCAATGCCGCTTGTAAAGCTCTTTCGTCGAGTGCACGATCACGATAGGACTCAAGAGAGAAGCTCAAGCTAACTCCATGCCAACAGCTGTGATAAGACAGGAGGACAACAACTAAATAAACACAAACCTCAAAATTTGAATTTGTAAGCTCGACTCAAGAGTGAAGAATACATATGATCAAACTGTGTTCAAAATCCAATAACAGTCCAAGGACCTATATAAAGTGGTCTAACCCAAATGACGTGACTACACTCAGATGGTGTGACTCACCCACATGGGTCGCCCACTCTTGTGTAGTGAACCGGCTCATGTGGGTCAGCCACCTTTAGGTCGTAAGTCAACTCATACATGCTACCTATGGCTAGTCGGCCTAGAAGGGTCAACCATTATAGTTAACCCATGCCCCGATTTTATATTTTTTATCTTCACATACATGTTTTTAAAATAATTAAATAATTATAATTAAAAAAAAAAATAGAAACAATAGCATTGGTTGACAACAAAATGGGTGACATTATTGCAAATTCCAACCTTTATTTTATTAAAATCATTTGTGCTTTCCAAACAATTCTCTCTCTTCCATATTTTAATTTTAATTTTGGGTAAAATATGATTCTTTAATAATTTCATATGGTTTGTTTAATAAATAAATACTACTCGTTTCTAAATGTATTAAAATATTAATAAATTTTTTTATTCTAAAAATTAAATATTGGATATGAAATTTCTTTGATTTATTAAAAAATAAAATGGACTATTATATAGTTTGATTTATGTTGAGAATGCATCATTTAAGAAAATAATCCGAATATAAATGAAACATTTTGTGAAAGATAATGCTGCCCATTTTTTCCTGTTTGGTCCCACTAATAATTAATATGATTTTAGGTATCTAATGATGAATAATTGGTTGGCATAAGTGTTACAAATATAGAAAATTCATATATTATTAAACTATAATCAACAAAATATCCATCAAATTTCTATCACTATTTTTTTAAAAAAATTAAAATCAATTCATTATTAGATAATATATATAGAAGTGAAATTATAAATTTAGTATATGAATTTTGAATATTTATTTACTTGATCGCTAAATTTGTAAAATTACCAATTTTAATTAATTTTTAAAATTATTTATTAGATACAAAATTGAAAGTTAAAGAATTAAGATTATAATTTAAATATCGATAACCATACAAGAATATACTTAATATTATTTGAGGGTCGAGTTCAACATGTCAATATATGTGCAACTAACATTGTGTCTAAACATTTTTAACGCTGCATTAACACGCTTTAACAAGAATTAAACAAGGGTAGATTGATACAATAGAAACCTCCGGTAAAATGCCCACCTGTAACTCAGCAAATAAAGTACATTACATAGTCCGTTTTAGGGATTGGTGACTTACCCATTCAGTAACTTTGGCAATGGACATTCAAAAAGTGGGGTACTATCGAGTTGGGTGAATTCAATAATAGACGTCAGTTGGCATTCCAGCCTTCCTTCTCCAAGATTTGTAACAACCCAAACTCACCACTAACGAATATTGTCCAATATTGTTCATTACGTATTGATATAAACCTCACGGTTTAAAAATGTCTATTAGAGAGGTTTTTATATCCTTATAAGAAATGTTTCGTTCTATTCTTTAACTGATGTTAAAATCTCACAAATAACATGAAAAACTGACTTAAATAGACAATTCTTAGTGTTTAGTTGATACTCGGTGTCTCGTAATTTAAAATTGAAGCCAATATATATATATATATATATATATATACATATATATATATATATATATATATATATATAGTAAGGTGAAAGAGTGAGGAAAAAGGAAGGGAGAAACATTGGAAGGAAGGAACCAACCTCCATTAAAAAGCAACATTCTGTCTCCCAATTTGACTTTCTCTCTCCTCATTTATTTTTTAATTATTTTATATGCTTATGGTTTTTTATTTTTATTTTATTATTATTAAATAATAAAATAAATAATTAGTAGGGAAAAGGAGGGCGAAGGGGGGGCAGCAGATCCAAAGCAAAGGATGCTGGGAAGACCCCCACACCACTCCACGTGCACCCCTCTTTCCTGCATCATTCCTCCCTTCCCTTCTCTATTTTCCACCCCATAATTTTAAACAAAATTCCTGAAAGAGATCACTGGTTAACATATCTGGTTAGATTGTGTAGTGCTCCCAAGTAAGTCATCGAGGATGATGACTAGTTTAAGTAAGGGAGAATGTCACAACTTAACTATGAAGAAAGTAGGTTGTGACCCTCACATTGCGACAATAGAAGTGGTGACCCTCAAGTGGCCCTCCTTACTCGAAAAAGTTATATATTGTTTAAGCCAATTGTTGTTGCCTTTTTGCTTGCATGCTATATACCACAACACTCTCTCTTTTTTCAAAAACTCTCTCCCCCGATTTCTAAAATCTTCTATTGAAATCAAGACTCGAGGTTTGTATTCACGTTGCCTGACCGTAGGCAACGTGACTCAAAGTAGGCTTGACTCACTCAGTGCTGAGAGTGAGTGCCACACAATTGCCAATTCCACTACCTAGAAACCACAATTGTGACAGCTTGGTGAGATTACTAAAAACGCTAAACATAAATGTCTAAATTAAAAAAAAAAAAAATTAACAATATGACTAAATTGAAAAGTAACAAAATATTAGCATCATGAAACCATTTTCATAAATAATTTCATTTCAATATGCTGTTTATATGTATACAAACAACTCAACTATAATTTCTAAGAATCAATTAAATACTTGTAAAATATAATACCAAGGTCAATTCAATCATTGCGTGGGGTTGCAATAAAATTATGACACCACCAAATTTAATGCCATAAATGAATTTACAAGTAAGAGAGAGATGAACTGATTCATCGGTAGAAAGAGAGAGTTTAGATTTTGAATCGAATAATAATTGTGGAAGAAAAAAGTGAACAAATGTGGTCTGAAAACTTGACAGGATAAATGTGTCTTCTTAGTATGTTTAAGATTTGACATGTGTAGCATACCACAATCCAATTCATATATATATATATATATAGTTGCTACAATTTAATCATCTTAAATCTTATCTTATCACCCAAAATCTTAGAACTAATCAATCTACTTTCAAACTAATCTAAGATGTCTACTTTCAAACTAATCTAAGATGTCTGGTAATTTAGGGAATGTTCTTGGGATTCTGAAATCAAATTGTTTGTAACCCCCAAAATTTTAACAAACCAACACTACAAATCAGTCTCTAAATTCTTATAAAAGTAACAATTTAGTCCAATGTAACGATTCAGTTGTTGTACTTTCAAACTTTGTAACAATTTAATCCATAAACTTTAAAGCCTGTAACGATTCCTCTGATCAATTTATCGATCTACATGTGTAGGAAATTTCATTCAACTTTAATAAAGTTTTCTCAACCAGGACTAAATCGTTACCAACTGTGAAGTACATGGACTAAATTGCTACTCGTTAATACTTAAGAATAAATTGTAACAAATTTGAAAGTACAAGAGCTGAATCGCTATAAAGCTAAAGTTCATGAGCTGAATTATTACTCTATGAAGGTTCGGGGCTAAGAGATCTGTGTTTTTTGAACCTCAAACCTAAATCCTATGGATATTAGTATGAGGGTGTTTTTTTTTTCACAGATGATATCAAGATTGGACAGTAACACAAATGATTAGAATCATAGAAACTTTTGGGTTATTATGAAATATGAAAAAATGAATAGTTACTTTGGAAATCTTGATCCAGTACAAAAGAGCATATATAAATTATATGATAACATATTTCATCATCTAACTTATCTTAAATGCAACATAATTCCACAAATGTAACACTATCACAGGTGACAAAGAAGTTGCAATTACTGTAAAAGAGTGAAAAATTTGATCCCAGAGATAAGATTTTGTCTCAACTCAAAGGGAAGAAAAAAAATTTCCACAAGGATAAAGACTTGTGTACCTTTCTCCATTTTGTGTTGAAGGGGTGAATCCAAATTAACCCTCTGGAATTGTTGAGCTAAAATGATCCCAACAATGGCTTCCTCTTCTCCCCTACATGGTAGCTAGCTAAGAGAATCGTGCCCTGTTCTTATTCTGAAAGAATATTCCACAAACAGCTCTTCAGATCTATTCCATAACAAAAAATTCAGAAATATGGAAAAGGAGGAGATTACACGTTTCCCTTTTTTCTTCACGGAGAATAAGCATTCAAACAAAACACACTTTTCTTACACAAAACGCAAGCTCAAAAAGTGGCAAAAAAAAAAAGGAAGAACTGTGATGAACATGACTAACATTTGTCGTGAATTCAAAGTGAGAATTACAGAAATCTATGCTCAACTATGGACGAAAGACACAACATAGGTTTGAGTTCATGAAAGGAAATGATCAAAGGACGGCGGCGGCGGCGGCGGCGG